TATTCTCCTAATTGGAAACTGAACATACTGCATGTAAAAGGGATTAAAAAAACATTTTATCTAAAGGCTTCATCTGTACACTATTGATCTTGGTGGCACCTAGACCAGGCTCAAAATTATTTGTAGATTTCCACCGTTCCAAGTGGAAACATTCAAATTTTTTTTAATAGTTTATTAGCTGATACTGCTGACAAGGCTTTTTAGTTTAAACCACCTTTCTGATACAATTTCTGAACAACAATCAATTAAACCATGTGTAAATTATTGGCATTCTGACACATTTTGAGTAAAATTGATGTAACTCATTTTAAAGGCTCTCCATTAGCCAGCATAATCCAATCTTCATTTAATTTCTTCACTACTGTTTCTCTTCTGGGAACAGGAACTATTCCTAGCATTAGTAAGAATGTCCCAAAGAATCTACCTCTTAGTACTAAAGTTTCTGTAACATGAAGTACATCTGCATATGCAACAGATTTTCAAATTGATTTGAACATAAGAGAATAGCTGGGTGTATCAACAAAAAAACCAACCCCCAAACTATGCACTCAAAAAAATCTAAATAAACATTACCTTTTCAGCATTAACCTTTCAGATATTAAGACAAATGAAAAAACTGAACAATACAGAACTCTTTTCTCATACTGTCTATATACCCTGACAATTCCTCAGTTTGTCAAGCTAAAATTTTCTTTGTTTAGAAACATCAGAACTAGAAATTTTTGAAGGACCTAAAAGGAAAAAAAGACATTTTCAAATACATATTACATATAACATGACATTTTCATGGTATTCAGTAAAGTCTGGGTGTTTTACCAAAATTTATTTTCCAAAATTGATTTTACAGAATCATGTAGGTATTAATTTTAGAAAATAACTTGAACTGGACTGGCAGTGAGGCCTCGGAGACCACACATTCAGAGAGTCAAAAGAATAATTATGTGGATATTTGTAGTTTAAAATCATGTCCATTTGAACCCCCTGTCTCTCTTGTTACAGGATAAAAATAAACAGAGAGAGCTAAATTAAAAGGGCTGACACCAAAATTGCTGATTGTGTTGTATCTGGTAGTTTGCTAATTTTTGAGAAAACAAGCTTGCCTAGACATGTTGAGATCACTGTTTTAAAGGTAAAAGCCTAAGACATAAAAGTTATCAGTAACCAGACATTCTAAAAACATGCTAAATCAAAAAGGAATGCTGACAGGCAAGATCCCAGGCCCCATAAATATTCGCAATCATACCACACAGAAGTCAGTGCAGTCAGTAGGTAACTATTCCTGAGAGAGCTGCCCTATCCAAAGGCACATAGTAACAAAGCATGGCTATTGTGTAAAAACAAGCAAAGGCCTAACAATGTTTTAAAAATTTTAATTCCTCTTATTACAGTGAAAGAACAAGAAGTTTGAAATTCTAGAAATGTTTATTTTACAGTGAACACTGAAAGTGTTTAGCTGTTTCCAATTACAAGCTGACCAGCAACTCAGAGGAAAGTCCCTACCATTTATACACTTATGTTATGTTGCCAGACAAACTTTTCTATAAAATTAATTATGAGAAAAATTTTATTAGCTCCTTAACACCTCTCTCTGGCAGGCAGAAAGAATTAAACGTATGCAGCAGGGTAATCTTGATATTGGGTGGAACTTTTTCTGTTGACTTTATGAAAATCTGCATCAACTATGAACTATTGTAAGCTTGCACTCTCCATGGCTTTGTTGTCTACCATAACCTTTAGAGAATCTAGCAGCATCATCTCCAACTCTGCACACACACATATCATGTCACAAAAAGAGACAAATCTCTCTACAATGGCTGCTCTCCCATGAGAATATATCCCACCTACATAGACCTGTCTCAAAGGTGAGAAACAATCTCCATCTGAAGCAGGGTCACAAGTTGACTAGAGAAGTATAAAATCCCACTATTTGTTTGGCTTTTTTTTTACTTCAAATTATTCTTGTCTGTTTTACTGCCTTTGAGAAATAATTTATTAATCAATGCTAACTCACAGAAGGTGTCTTAAACAACACTACCAAGTGGCAAAGACAAACTTCTGAACTGCAGAGGTCATTAGAAAAAAATTCACATATTTTGATGTTCTAGATATATTTTTACAATACTGTTCCTGTAAAATGGAATTATCTGATTATATCCACAAGACCAGACTATTACGTAGCTTCCTCTAGTGGTCAGTCCCTAAATCTTGTTGCTTCTGCTATTTACTCTAGTTACTTGTTACACACAAATTCTGTGTTCAAATGCTGTAAATTTGAGAAGGCATTAAAATTTATACTGCAATGTACCTCTAATACAAAAGCCAAGGAAACTAAGCCAAAACTTAGAGCAAAACTTTGGTTAGTTGACACTAAAACAGCGAACTAGCTAAACAGTGAAGTCAGCAAAACCCAGAGTTATTAGTTTTCCCATTTGCACCCTTGTGAATACACATTATAATATATTTAGTTACATGGTCAAGTTTGACTTTCCCACCATGAGACTCAGGAAGTAAAGACAGATGTTCAGTTTTTAGCTGAGTCTTCAGATATTTGCTATGAATCATTCAAACTTTTGTTTTGACCCTGAAAATTATGTATGTATGTGTGCGTGTGTGCATGCACGTTTCAATGAGCCTTGCTGCTGTGCAACTGGTTTCCTTCTGCAAAACTCTGCTGAGGGTTAAAAGACACGCCAAAGCATTCTCCAGATTTGAAGGCCACTGAAAACAGATGACAACTTGATATAGCCCTAAAATACCACAAGAAGAATCAAGGCAGCTCTCTGTCCTATAGGATGAGAAATTAAGAGGATGAAATTTTACACTGGGCATCAGGAAGATTGCCTTACAGGTTGAAGTCATTAAGGAGGAAGAGAGAAAACCCAAAGGTAGAAAGTGACAACTGCCTGTTACAAAATATATTTTATCGAATATATTTTACTGAATATATTTATTCAACTGTTAAAAAGAGTGTGATTACATAACATAACAGCCATGTCTGACTCTAAAATAAGGTAGTTAGAAATCTGCTTAGGTGATTTAACTGAAAATAATCCCAAGGGTTATGTTATCTAAATTGTACAGACATAGAAAATCGTATCACCCACGTGCAGTTTGAAAATCTGTGAATGAGTAACTTTTATAATATGCCATTTTTCTGTGAAACAGCAGCAATAACTTTTATGTCCAGCTGAATGCATTTCATTGCCTAAGATTCTTTATTGCCTTCTTACTTTTGCCTTTACACTTTTCTGTACTCTGGAACCAAAAGAAATCCCCCTCAATCCTTTTTTTTTTCTTTGCATCTCTTTATAAAGCCTGCCAACTTCCATTCAGCTATGACAAGGGCATTAACTCCCCAAAACTGACACCACCATTTACTCACTCATACATTGCCAGCAACAATGCATACTGCCAGTGCAGCAATGCCTGACAAAACACATAATGAAGCAGAAACTTAATTTTAAGTTCAAGGACAAAATAATTTTGAAACACTACTGCATATTCCCCTGGGAAGCCTACAGGTAGCTCAACAGTGCTAACCTCACAAGTGCCTTAAATGCTCATCCCTCCATCATAGAAATTCACATGGAGCTTCCACACATTTGGACAAAAAAACCCAAATGCACAACATACAGACAAAAGACAAGGCCATGAGAAGCACTAAGTATTACATTTCCTTCCCTTTTTTTCTTTCTTTTCAGGACACCAGTCTGCATGTTACCAGCTAATGCAGCTTGCCCTAACATTGCAGCTGTGATTTGCTCCCTTGTGCCGTATTTAGAAACGTGCTCACTGTGACTGTTTCAAAAGAGGCTCTCAAATCATTCTGTGAGATGCTGACTGTAAGGGTACCTCAGCAGTTAAAATACCTGATGTTACACATCCCTCTGCTGTTGGTATCTGCCTAACCTCATTCATTTTTACAGCTGGAACCAGCTGGAATGCGTCTTCTCCTCAGGAGAGCAGGCAGCAAGGGATTTACAGCACAGTAACTCAGTAACCTCAGGTCTCAAGTTTACTTATTCCCTGGCATACCATTACATCCTTGGGGAAAGATAACACAGCTGACAAAAAATGTCACAGCTCCTCAAAATAAATAATATCTGTCCAAATTTGGAGAGTGCTGCCAACTCTGTTTATGTTCCTGGCTTTCTCTCAGAACAGCTCTAAAGCTGTGAACTTTGTTAGTAAAATAAGAAAGGAGAAAGATTTAGCCACATCTCTTTTCAGAAAAAGTTCTGTGCCTGTTTCTCGTCACTTTGTAAAATCATTTTGCCATTACAGCAACCTGAATATGCAGTGGTGCTTAGGTAGCAATGTAAGGGCCTAATAAATAAAACATGAAGGCTGCAGAAGAGAAAATTAAATAAAATTTCATGCATGCTTTTCATTTTTCATGCTAAGGATCAAAATATTAAGTGCATTTCAGTGCCAAATTCTGTATTAAAGTCACTCATAATTCTCTGTATTCCATTAGTTAGAAACTCCAACCAAAACCCAGCATGTCAGAGACAGTACAGTCAGTCAAGATTGTGATAACCTACTTTCATGTATGTGACAATTAAGCATCTCTAATGAAATGCTTATGTTTTAAATAGGCAAGACAAAGTAGAAAGATACCAATCTTAACAGCATGGAACTGAAGGCAAATGGGAGCTAGAGACTCCTCCTCCTACACACATTCTAGGGTACAGCACGAGTTGTAGAATTAACATGGTTCTGGAAAGGATGACCCTGATGTTAATTCTAAAGCATCAGAGTATTTCAATTATAGGATTGTTTCTCAACTGCTCAGGTGGTGGCAGAGTAAGTATCAATGAACTTCCTCATGTATAACAGAACAGAACATGAAAAGAAATGGTCAGCGTACCTGTTTTGTACTGCTCAGCTTTAAAAAGAAAAGCAGTTATTCTTTGACTAACTTCTGAATACCAGATTTTAGGCCAAAGAAGTGCAGAACTTTTCAGGCAAAGGATCACTTGAAACAATGCACAACTTACGCATCTCTTCAACCACGTCTGGATCACATTCCCTGTATTTGTCTATTTCTGTCTTTAGCTGCTCTTTCTTCTGCCGAAGGGCAGCAAGTTCCTTCAGCAGAGCTGCACGATCCGCCTGAGCATTCAAAGGATGGTGGGAGATAAACAAAACCTCCAATTATTAAAAACAGTAATTATCACCCAAAGTTTTTTTAAAAATAAAAATATACAATTAAAATTTAAAAGCTGCTTTCACTACTGCTTTCTATGTCTATGTCTATGAACTACTTGAGCATTTTATTTTATTACATAGAATTCTCAGAGATATTAAATGATACTGAATACCAGCTGGAAGGAAAAAAAGTTAAGGCCAAAATGTATCGATAAAAGAACAATCTTCTACTACCTTTAAACCATGGTTTAACAAACTCCAAAGAGATCTCTTAATTATTTGGCTTAAAGGTTAAGCAGTATTTAAGAGTGCTAGTCTCATAATTAAAGACGGCATTACAGAAAAACCTACCATCCACCCTTCCACAAACTGAGATACTATGTATGAACACCCTCTGAATTTGTCTTTTTTTCTTTTGCACACCCTTTAAGAGCAATCGTCTCAAAAATAAATTCATGCATTTATGACATGGTAGTCTTTGCTAGGATTGTACACAATACTGACCTCAAAGATTCCATCGATCAATAAGAATCTGCAGACACTGACTCCACATGAGCTCTCCCACAGCCAGCTCAGCACATAGCTCTAATTCAGTCTGCAGCTACAAACACTGGAACTGGCTGATATTCAAATAACTCAAGCTAGGGTAGCCTAGAAGAGCCAGACTGCATGAGTTTGTAAGCCATCAAAATTTTACCAATGGCAATCTCCATGGTAACCCAGCAGTCTGAGGTCTTTGTGGATCTGGGATTTTGTTTACAGTTGTTGGGTTTTTCCCCACCAAACTTCCATATTTCCCAGGGCTTTTGCCAACAGTCTGGATTCAGCATGTTCTGAAAATGCAGTATGGAAATCAAAAGTTTCCAGATGCTGAGGTATGGAGGTGAGATGCTTGGAGACCTACATTGCAATCTAGATTTTTTAGGACTTCTTCTTGATGTATAATCAGGAATGAAAATGTTGGAAACATCAGCCAGAACAGGATTTCCAGACCAATAGCTGTCTGTAGGGCAGGCCACATGCTGGAGAAGTCCAAGGCTGAAACAGTTTGTTTGGAAACATGACAAGTACAATTATGTGAGAAACCTGCCTGTGATTCCTGATTACAGTCCATTGTGAATGAATGAATAAAGACTTCCCATTAAAGACACTGCCAAAAAGCAGGTTTTAATTGAATTTGTGGAACTGCAACATTAACAGAGTTTGATGGTAAGGTTCACTCTATTCCTTACTAGATAAATGAAACATACATAGGGAAAACCTAGAGTGTTTCTACAAAACAGTTCGGATTTGAAGATTTGGCACTTTCTTACAAAATTCAATTCCTCCTGAAAGCTTCTGGCTATGCATGTTTATTGGAGGTTTCAATCACTTTAGACTCAGCATCTCAGAGCAAGTCAGCAACCTAGAATACCATACAAAGTATTTCTAACTAATATGTTGGTTATGACAAACAGCAAGCCTAGATATATTTTTTCAGTGTTAACAGCTTCAGCAGCAAAGAGCACTGGGCTTACATTACTGCTCAGAACAGTAATTTAGGAAACTATATTACAAATAAGTTGAAAAAAACCCAAACCAACATCGAAGTTTGTAGTTACCAGATTTGGCAGTTCAGCACCCACTGGCAACTCTGGTACAGGCCTCTGGGTAGTTCAAATTTTAAGATACTTTTATATCTGAAAACACCTAGAAGTACTACATTAGTATTTACAAGAAGTACATACTCGTAGCATTATTTCCTTGTAGGATTACATTCCCCCCAAAGCAACTTACAGTATCTTCACGTCCAATTTTTGATTTCTCGATGCTTTTTTCTAAACCCTCTTTTTTCTGACTGCTTTCAGCAAGCTAATAAAGAAAACAAAGAACAAAATAAAACTTTTCCAGTAACATTAAACAGAGCTATAAAACATGCATTAATATTAATGTATTTAAATAAACAAGTGAATATAGCTTTTTAAAATACATGTGTTTTAAAAAAAATAAAATTTTAAAATACATATGTAACTTATGTAATAAAAATAAAGACAAAATAAATACAAAAGTGCCCAAATATAAATCTGAGGCTCCGACCCACAGAGAAGAAATTACAGGAAACAACTTCAAGTATAAGAAATATTTATTCCTGTGGCACATAATCTTGTTATATACTGCATGTTCAGCATGGGACTAAAATCCTATTTCATACCACAATCTGGCATCTCTATGTAAAGGACCCCCTAACATGGAGGCTTTGGATCTGATGATTTCCTTGGGTCCTTTTCCAGCTGTCCCAATTCAAGGAAGCAGTGACAAAAGCTGCAGCAGCTCCACCTGCCCAGCTGTGGATACCGGTGTTCCCAAAGTGCGGTCTGCCACCGGCACAGACCCAATCCCTTTTACATGCTGATGAACAGAAGCCTCTGTCCAAAGGCATGCAAAGCTGTGGCCCCCTTTTACTGTGTGGCCCTTGCACTGTCAGAGCTCACAGAGATCCCTTCCTTCAAGCCCAAGACAGAGGAATCTCACAGGGCTGGTGTGAATAATCCTTCCATTTTTCTGTTACATCAGGAGAAATAATTTGCCAAGAGAGAGCTCTCTCCATTAACCTGCCACCCATCTTGAACCAGGCCTTTCCAGTTCAGTTGGCAGTTTTCCAGAGATACTTTGCAAACTCTTAAGCTGAGCAGGACTATGACTCGACCCTCAGGGACACCATACTCAGCATCAGACAAAGCACCTTAAAATATTAAATGAGATGAACAAGAACGAAAAAAAAATTCTAATAAAAAACAGTTACTGCATTGAAACCAACACAAAAGAGGAAAAAAAGAAACAATAGCATGCTTTTTGAGTACCCTTTGTTTTAGTTTTAAAATGAAAGCACCAATCAGTATACCACTATATCACAGTAACTGTGAAAAGAACAGCTGCCAGAGCTCAGCTTTTACTCTGCTCTACCCCAAGATCCCCCACATGAGTCCTCCACTTCTACATTCCCCTTCTCACTGAGGATCCCACTGAGTGCAAAAGCATTTCCAGATATTTCCTGCAATCTTCAGCCTTGATAATTTAACCGTATCACTAAAATTGTGCAGCTGATATAAATACATACATGCAACACAAACTGCACTCCTTTGGAGGTATAATCACTTCTCAATTTCAATTTAAACTAATGTTTGGTCCGTATTTTCAGAATACTAAATGTAAATGTATGATAAATATCAGGCAGAGCTTACTGCCACGTCTTGAAGATCAGTCATAACAGTAAAAAGAAACTCCATACTGGTGGTCCATAAAGATTAGGATACAGCCCAACTGCAGCTCACTGGGTTTAGTGGTTCCTTTCACAGCTTGATTTAAAAAAATAATTACTCTGTGTTCATGCATGTTTGAGCATGCATACAGACAAAAAGTCTCCTTTCTAAAAGAATGCTTTAGTTTTCTTCAATTTATATAGGAATTATACTAATGGTAAGACATAATTTGAGGAAAAATACATCCAGCTGTTTACTTGCTGCTCTCAGCGCAAGAAACCACAGAGGCAGCAAGGGTTTCACTATGTGGCTTGAAGTAGACCAACATCTTAATTTCGGTGGATAGTCAAAGAGTACTCCTTCCAGGCTTTCCACAAAATTCTTACAAGAGTAGGTGTGTTAGTCCCCACATGATGCCATACAAACAGAGGTACACAGTTCAGCAGGGGGTCAGTACTTAGATGCAGTTTGCAGTAGCGCACTAAGTCCAGGGAACACAAACCCCAGAGCAAGTCATTTGGCATCTCTGAAGGCAGGATTTCTCTGAAGCAAAACCCACAGAGGACAGAGAAGCCAAGGAGCTTACCTAGACCCTTATACTGCAAGTGCAAAGCAGCCAATGCTCTCTGTAAGAGAGGTCATAAAGATGTCACTTTCTCTGTTTATTTTTCATACTCATTAAGTTCTAAAGGAATGTTTCTGCTTTCTCTAAAATGGATGTACAGGAGGAGCTCTCAAGGAGTGCAAATCATAAAAGCCAGTTTACAGCATGGAAGCACCCAATGAGGCATCTTATCATTTTCTTGATCCTCTGTATGCCACATCATTTACTAATGCAAGAAACACTAATGACAAACTATGGGAGATAAAGGAATTTCTTAGATTCTGTCCTATACAACATGCAAGGTTACTGTGCCATGAGGTTAGAAGACCTTCCTTTGCCTAAAAGCAAAGATGATTTTTACATAATTTTATTTAAAATATTACCTTCTTAACTCACAGATTTTAATTGCTTGGGTATTTTCTGATTTTTAAATTATTCTTTAATTATTATTACACTTAACAAAAAAAATATTAAATAAATTGACACATCAGCTCTTCTTGCATTATTTTGAAGTCATGGTAGTTATCCTCTATAACAAATAAATCTGAGGATACAGAAAGGAAGAGCAGAAGGAGGCAAGATATAGAAAAAACCCTATCAGAGGGGAAGGATTCAAAGGGTGAGGAACAGATGGCCAGGGTTTGTACAAAGAATCTATGACTATGAGAGAAGCAGAGAGGCCTGGATGGAGAGGTGGGAACACAGCTGAAAATAACCATAATGAAAGAAGGAAAGAAGCAAGGATAAAGGAGTCAGAGGAAGGAAGGATACACATGATACAATACTTAATTGAAAGGCAAGTGCAAATGGCAAATGACAAGTTTATAGGGCATTAAAAAGAAAAAAAAAAGCAGAATATGCAAACATTGTGTATGTATGATAGCAGACAACCACATCTGGACAAATACAGTGACTTACTTTCCCACTCACCAGCTGTAGAAAAGCCTGATTGCAAAGAAGCACAGTAGCAAATGGAATATTTCAATCCTTGGAGCAACTTTCCAGGGGAACTGGCAAACAATTTCTCAAGGAACATTAACCACTCTGAGAAATCTATTTCCTGCCAAAAGCAGAGAGACCAGTCCAGAGATAAAGATACTGTGTGCCCTCTATGTTTCTTGAGAGACATGTCTGGGCTGACACTGGAACAACCTTCTGCCACAAGTGTAATAGACCAGCTGTGGAAAAGAAGTACAGAGAGATTCTACTCCACTACAAAGTTTCATGTCTCCTATCTGACTGCTCTGAATCAGCATATGATTAAGCAAGATGCAAGAAAGCAGCAAAAACATCATCTAGGGGAAAGAAAAAGGAGAGGAGACTAAATAATTCAAAATTAAGAAGTTAAAAATGTTCTCCACAAGAGCATTTTCTTGTTTTCAAAACACAGTGGGAGCCTGCAAGAAGACAGTTTAATGAAGAAAGTAACTAGCATCTATAAAACAGGAGAGTTGGGGAACAATTTCTTTAGTTTACAGACCAGTATGATCAATTAAATGGCCAGTAGCCTTAGACACTGATACAATCCCAAGTGCCCCCCAAAATCCCAAAAGGGAAAAATCACTCAAAGGGATGGTATTTCCTACTCTGCAAAGGTATCACAATGTTTAGCCAGACATGTGTGCAGCAGTTTGGGTGTGCAAAGTGCTGTGTGCTGGTGATAGCACTAGCTCCATCAGGGAACTTGGGGTCTGGTTTGTATCAAAGAACACAGATTAGACATATTCACATCATTTATAATCTAGTATGAACACATTAATAGCAGGGCTCCCCTTCAGCAAGCCACTGATGTGCATTTGGAAGAGGAATGTTTAACCCCAACGAACAAGCGCAGCAGGTTTCAGTTCCAGTCTTTCTCAAAACCTGCCTGATAAACTTATATTCTAGAATAAAAAACTACTTTTTTTTTTTTTTCTCCAGCAAAAGTTTTTGTTGGTCCTATGCCATCTGATTCCCTGTTTTTAACCACTCTAACCACCAGTATCCCACAAACATGTAGCTTGTCTCACCAGCATATTAAAATATCTACAAACCCAGTATAAGCCATGCAAACCCAGCCCCTGAGCATGTTCACTGGCCAAGAATCAAGCCAAGGTCTCACATGCTAACCACCAAGAGTGCTCACAGCTGTTAACTCACTGTCATTATGGTCTGAAAAAGAAAAATCATCTGGTTGGGTTTGCTTTCGGCCAAACACTCAACCAAAAATGATATTCAAAACTACTGCTCTTGTGAGCTCCACTCACTGTGGCACTAAAGAAGAATTAAAGACATCAATTTTTTAATCATTTCTAACTTGTAAAGTTATTTGCTTTAGGTTTGAAGCTCACTGTGCCTTGTTTCAGGCTAAAAGCAAGGCTAGTTGTCTTTTGGTTAAACGAAAACAGTTCAAGAGGTTTAGGGTAACATTAAGCAGTAGATAGGTGTATTTCTTTTCTATGGGAAAACCAACTCACTACTGAAAACCTTAAGTAGAATTGACAGAATGTATGGAAAGAAGGTACTTCAAAGCATTCCTCTAGATTTTAAAGAAAGATAGAAACAACTGAAGCTAAAAACAGACTAATAATATATAGAGAGGAAAAATGCAAAGATCAACAGCCAAAGAACAATGACATGCAGAACTGCTTTCTTAAGTACACCAAGCATACAGCTACTCCTTTTACATACACAGTCCGAAATCCACGCTTCCCAGAGTTTCCAAATACATGTAAGCAAACTTTGCAGCCAGCTAATCATGGAGAGCCCTCCCGTGACCTGCAGTACTGTGGCCTCTGCTCTGATCCCAGGATGTCCCATATCACTCATGAGATGCCATTTCTCCCTATAACCCACCCAGGGAACTGAACTACAGCAGGAGCAGCCACCAGCTCCACTGGGGCCTCAGTGAAGGATGTGATAAATATCCCATTAAACTCTCATGAGGCACAAACAGCAAACATACACTCGCTACATAAATACAACTGAGATCTACTTTTTTCCTTATCTTTTGACATTTGTGAAAGGAA